TTTATTACAAATAACTACTTTAACTTATTTTCTTAATCTATTCAAATTAGTCAACTAGCTCTTATATTTAGGACCAGAAGTAATACTCGATATGTACGGCTCAGATTGATTAAGCTCAAGAAGATTTATTATCTCGGTTTTCATAATCTCTCTCTCAACCTTAACATCTTGCAGTTGTAAGTTATGCTCTCTGAGCTCTTGTAAATGGAATACGTAAATTACACAACGTCGAGGGGGAAAACTCGAAGATCAATTAATAGTTCACAAATTTTTATATATAGATCGAGGAATCACTTGTGTTGCGCTGAGCATCGAGCAATTCTTGGAATAAAGGTCTATCTCCTAAAAAAAAAAAAATAGTGACCTTTCCAGTTGCAAAGGGTCGGTCAATAATCTTGCACCATACAAATTTTATATAGATCGAGGAATCATCGCCGTTATTGCTAGTACCTCATTGCCATTGTATATATATTCTGAAATGAAACTAGATTTTCTTTCTACTTTTCTTCATCAGTATTTCTTGCCACATGAGATTGGGAGAGTCACCCGCAAATTTATATAATTAGGACTGAGAGAGAAGATGTAATACCTCGTTCAAAGAGCTTTCAAACTTTTCACTAGCATGAATTTCATACCCAATATATATATATATATATATATTGCATTCCTAATTCACTTTGCAGGGTCACCACAGCAAGTTCCTACTACTCATGACTTGTATGAATCACTTAAATCACTTGAATGAACATATAGTCGGGCGTCATGAATAGATAATGGATCATAATAGTGCTATAAGCAAGTTTTTATTGGCCATCTTGTTCGCATGGTTGAAATAATAGCCTAAGGAGTTTCTTTCATGAGATCTCTAGTGTATTACCTCTTTTATGCTTAGATATACAAATGCTTCAAAATCATATATATGAATATGAATATGAAGAGAGAATACAAAGAGAATCCAATGATCATATCAATCATCAACTAATGAAACTAAAATCTAGATTTGGTTTGCAACGGTGAATATAAGTCAGACTAGGGGCCTCTCCGTTGGTTCAGATTTTTTAAGCCAACGATCGTCGGTTCAGATTTAAATATTTAAATACTCCGGTAATTTGCAATAATCAGGATCAAAGAAGCCCAATAAGTGCAGCACGGTCATCAACCCTTTGGGCTTAACACGCATAAAACTGGGCTTGGCCGACCCAAGATAGAGTGACCTTCAATTCGGCTTGTCGTTTCACGCAGGTGCCGGGCGTAGCAGAGAAACGACGGTCGTTTAGATGTTTTGAATTGCTCCGCAAGCTAGGCTTCGTCCGTTGCCGTGCTCTCAACTTTCTCATTTCCCGGTTAAACCCTAGCATGGGTTTATGCTCGCGCCACACGCCAGGTCGTATCCTCAGAGACAGAGACTAACCACCTGACATGCAAAATGCGAAGTTTATGAACCAACGTAATTTCCATCATCTCTTCGAAGGCACATTCTAAGCCATGACTGCCGCAAGATTATCACCGTGCGTAGCCGTGGCTGCAGCCGTGGCTGCTATGTCCACTCTCTCCAATAAGGCTTACGCCGAGACCTCCTTTCGGTTCCCTTTTCTCCCTTCTTCGTCGCCTACTTCAGCTCCCCAGGCGGATCAGAATTCTGATGCTAAGTCAGAATCTCAAGCTCCCGATGAACCCAACAAGTCAGGTTTTGATCCGGAATCGTTAGAACGAGGGGCAAAAGCTCTCCGCGAAATCAATTCTTCTCCGTACTCTAAACAGGTTTAGATTTTATGTCAGGATTCTATGGGATCTGTTTTGATTTCTGAGACAAACAAAAAGAAATGGTTAAAATTTAGTCGGTTAATATCTTGGTTTTGCTTTCCAGGTTTTTGATTTAATGAGAAAGCAGGAACAAACTCGCCTTGCTGAGTTAGATGCCGAGAAAGTTCATTATGAACTAATTCAGTCCCAAGTTGATATTGTAAGTGATGGATTAGGAAATAACACTCTTGTCGCCAAAATTTCGTGTCAATCAATCTATGAGGATAGATTACTTACACCATAGTGACTTCTCTGCAGGATAGGCAGCGGAAAATAGCTGAAGAACAACGGAATCTTATACAGGAGCAGGCTCAGAGGCAGGCCCAGGTGCTGCGATATGAAGATGAACTGGCTAGGAAAAGAATGCAGGTAGAAACATCAAAATATTCCCTTTTTTAATATAGGATAGTCTGGGCCTTTTTTTATAATTGATTGGAAGTTGCTTGTCACTTGTCTGTTAATATAAAATTTCAAATGTCCTAATAGTCTTGAGAGTAGTGGAGTATATTAAAACTATATGCAAAAACATGCGGAGTTTGACTCTGTGTTAAACTGTTATGTTCATTTCCTTTCTTCTTTTTCCTCTAGTCTGTAGGTTTTGGTATGCATTTCTCAGTAAAAATATTTTCTTTTTCTCCTTAGAATATTGGTTCGAACGACTTGTGTGGTTGTTCTCCTCCCTGTCTTTGCCTTTAAAACTCTGTAGTAGTAGCTGTTTTGAATTTCCAAGGAGAGATACTAGCCTCGGTCTTCCTTTAGATGGCCAAGGCTGCACCCATTTGAAGCTCCTGTCCCATTGAATTCTGTTAAGTTAAAAACCATCTAATCAAACAGTTATCTCTTATTGCCATTTGTAGGCTGATCATGAAGCTCAGAGACGACATAACGTTGAATTGGCGAAGATGCAAGAGGAGTCCTCTGTTAGAAAGGAACAGGCAAGGCGAGCTACTGAAGAACAGATTCAAGCTCAGCAGCGTCAAACTGAGAGAGAGAGAGCTGAAATAGAAAGGGAAACCATAAGAGTTAAGGCCATGGCTGAGGCAGAGGGCCGAGCCCATGAAGCGAAACTCACTGAGGAGCATAATAGTAGAATGCTTAAAGACCGATTGCAGGGTGAAAAAGACAAATGGCTTGCTGCAATTAACACGACTTTTAGTCATATTGAAGGTATGCATCTGATCAGGACATCTGCTGTTACTTGGTGGTTCAGAAACTGGCAATTCTGTTTCTTGTTTATTGTTTATCTCAGTGATCTCTTTTCCCCATTTCCCTCCTTATTTACAGTCTGAAAGGATGACAGGGTTCCATGTAATATCTATTGATCCTAGAATCTTCCTTTGGCTTATGCATGAGTTATGAGCATCTATACCATGAGTGTTCCCTGGTATGCCTCTCTAGTGGCCCTCACATGTGCTGTTAGATTTTCTATGCACTTCAATGTAGCAAATCTTTTTATTTTATTCTTAGGAAGAGTTGGTTAGTGACATGGACTTCATGGTTGTGTGTGACAATATGCATTATTGACTGAAGGGGTTATCACTCAATATTCAATTCTTAATTGCGGAGTTATATAAAAGCTAGCAGTTGGATTTGCGAAGTATACCTTTGCTTCCCCTGCAATGCGGGATGGATGCTTGCACTTGCATGAAATTATGGAAGCAGTCATGGCCGCTGGCTGCTCAATTATTATATCTTAACTGATATTTCTGTCACATTTCTTTGAGGAAAAGTCGTTAGGTTTTGTGTTTGGTTTTCTTTGGTTGCTTGAATTCTTGTTTCATTATCAACAATGATGTTGACTTGGTATTCTTCCATCTTATAAGAGACTTGTTTATGGTTGTAGCTTCATGTATATTTATCAGCTATATTTGTTGATGGAAGATAATTCCTGTACTATATTATTTATTTTTCAGAATTTATTGGTACAACTGTAATTTGTTAACTTGAAACATGCAGGTGGCTTAAGGATCTTGTTGACTGATAGGGACAAATTGCTTATGACTGTGGGAGGGGTCACAGCATTAGCTGCAGGAGTATATACAACTAGGTAAATATGCCACCTTTCTTGCTCCATTTGACCTTTTCCACATCACCTTTCATTTTGAAAATTCAGTTGGCTGTGGGATTTGTATGCTTTGTCAATTTTTAATCTGATTTTATGGTATTTAAAACTATTTTAACTATGACTATATTAATGCTTGTCAATGCCATTTCCACTTACAAACTGGCTGCGACAGTGGAACCAGCTGCGACTTTTGGAAAGGAAATGAGTGATTTGACATCTTGGCAATATATCTCGTAAATGAAATTAGAATGTGTATTGGGGATTCAGAGAAAAGTTGAAGGTCAGAAAGTGTGCATGGTCCTCAGTTCCTGTATCTCACATCACATAACTATTTACGGCTCCTGTCAGCGTCCAGCTTCCTATCTTTCTCCCAACTCTGTGGTCCACCCCCTGGCCCATGGAAAATAATCTAGGGGTCATTATCCAGAATATACCACAATCTTTTCCCCCGAAATCGCGACTTGATTTTCAAATTCTCATTGATAAATTCTGAAACCTTCTAATCTGATGGAGAAGGAAGAATAGCTGTTACCATATTGACTAGCAAGCACGTGCAGTGTGAGACGTTCAACTGTTGTTTTCCTTCCTAACCGCCTGGATGATAAGAGGAGAGGGAGGATGGAATTAAAATTATGAAACATGATTAATTGATTATCTTCATATAGTTCAATTACAGTTTTTCACCGCATCAAACTGCAGTCTGAAGCTATAAAATCTATGATCTGTCAGAATTGTAAACGGGATCTGTGTTTAATTTTACTTTCTGACTTTACAGAGAAGGTGCTAAAGTTACATGGGGCTACATTAATCGGATTTTGGGCCAGCCGTCTTTGATCAGGGAATCATCCATGGCAAGATTTCCAGGGTCAAGGATCTTATCTCAAGCCAAAAATAAAGCCTTTAGTACCATGGCGAAGGCAGAAAAATTTTCTGAGAGTAAAACTGGCCTTGAAAATGTAGTACTCCATCCATCGTTGCAGAGAAGAATAGAGCATCTAGCACGGGCGACATCAAATACCAAGGCCCACCAGGCACCATTCCGTAATATGCTCTTTTATGGTCCTCCTGGGACTGGTAAAACCATGGTTGCAAGGGAAATTGCTAAAAAATCGGTGCGATGGCCTCTTTTTCTTTTATGCCTAGTTCTTTAGTAATGGAATTTGTCTACATACTCCATTTCCATTTCATTCTTTACTAATTTGGAGGTGATTAAGGTTTCTTTAACAGCTACTCTTCATCAATTTTGGTGTGCAGGGTTTAGATTATGCCATGATGACTGGAGGAGATGTTGCCCCCCTGGGCCCACAGGCTGTTACTAAAATCCACGAGATATTTGATTGGGCCAAGAAATCCAGGAAAGGGTTGCTGCTTTTTATTGATGAGGCTGATGCTTTCCTTTGCGAGTAAGTTCTTTTAAACAGCATTTAGAGACTTAATTCTCAAATAAAAATATTTATGACTAAAATGATTTTTTCTCTGAAGCTGATGGCATAATTTAATTGGTTGACTTAATCTGTCTTATGCAAAATGATATTTTTATATTCAGGCTACAATATAATTTCTTATGCTTCTCTTTTTACTGGTGATAATGTCTTGTGCTTCTATTCAATCGATAACGGCCTAGAAATGATGTGGGCAGTGGGCTGTAACTAAGCGGCCCAATATATTGAACCCCCCTCCGATCCCTGGATACCAATAAACGTGCTAGTGAACCAACAAACCACAACTTTTTGTATTTAAAAAAAAAAAAAAACCCACAACTTTTGTGGTTTTTTTTTTTGGTGTCTTTCCTATATTCTGTGGAGATTCAATGTGCCAAATGGATAGTAATTCTCGTTGGATTCTTTTTTTTTTTTTTGGGTGAATTCTCTTTGGATTCTATAGCAATCAATTTAATGATATATTGTGGACCCGATGCAGGCGTAACAGCTCACACATGAGCGAAGCTCAACGAAGTGCTCTAAACGCATTGCTCTTCAGAACTGGCGATCAGTCAAGAGACATAGTACTTGTCCTTGCTACAAACAGACCAGGTGATCTTGACAGCGCAGTGACTGACCGCATTGATGAGGTGATTGAATTCCCACTCCCTGGGGAGGAAGAACGTTTCAAATTGTTGAAGCTCTATTTGAACAAATACTTGAGCGAAGACAATGGCAGCTCATCCATACTCAGGAAACAAGCTCAAAAAATTATCATGAAGGATATATCCGAGGATGTGCTTAGGGAGGCTGCGAAGAAAACGGAGGGATTCTCAGGCCGCGAGATAGCCAAATTGGTTTCCGGCATCCGAGCAGCCGTGTATGGGCGCCCAGACTGTACTTTGGATTCTCAGTTGTTTAGAGAAATGGTAGATTACAAGGTTGGGGAACACCATCAACGTATAAAACTGGCGGCTGAAGGCGGTCTTCCTGACAATATCTAGTCACTTGCTTTCCGCTTATTGTCTGACGCTCCAGCGTGAACTCCGGGAAATGCTCTTTCGACATCTGGTTTTTTTTTTTAAAAAATTTTTTTTTCTTCGAATCCGTTGGATCATCACTATACTGGACCCATGAAGAAGATTCATTTGTAGAGTCCACTCCCCGTTCATTCTGTGGGCCGAAATTTTTGCAGGATCCTTGGCAAATTGGTGCGGAATCTTGGGAAGCATCTTATTTTAGAAAATAGAAATGGAGGAATCCTCTCGTGAGGCATACCCTGTTACTAATCGAGCCAATGGCCCATTGAGTTTTCTTCGTATTATAATAAAATTTTTATTGATGAATTTTGATTGTAAGCAGGTTTATTTATTATGCCGGAGAAAAGTCCATTTTCTTGAGAAATCAGAACTCCTTAATTTATACCATTATCATATTTTAATTCGGTATCACGATTGTAGCAAAACCCAAAACTGTAATAATGAGATGATAGAAAAGATGAAATGTTTGTGCTAATTTGAAGGAAAAAAATGAATCATGAATACTTTGTCTCGGATGCGATGCATTCTTAGGGTCGATTTTGATAGGAGGAAAAGGGAGGGGAGGAAAATTTTTAATGAGTTTGATTTAAAAATTACACTAAGGTTAAAATTTTTTAATTAATTATTATTATCATTATTTTTATATTACTTCCTCTCTTGTTATTAAAATTTTAAATTCTCACTTCTTTAATTTTTTAAATAAAACTCATTAAAATTTTTCTTCCACTCACCTCCATTTTCAAAACATCAAACAATACCTAAAAGTGACAGGCTAAGGTTAATTCCCTTTTCATGTCATATTAGCATATTACGTCATGTTTGATTTCCTCAAGATTCCATTAAAAATATAGGGCAATGGTATTTAATATATGATATAATTATTGAGTTAATTTTAGTTCTATATGTAAGACCTGTTTATCATGTTTATCAATTTTTTTTAAATTATCGTTATTAATTCTCCCTCAACCATAATCAAGTAGGAAAGAGAAGGAGAATATTAATAAAGATGATTGAATATTGAGGAAGATGATTATGGTATTTTAAGAAAAACATGTCATATTTTTTTATAATTAAGTAACCTATTTAAATTTTTTAATCTAATCAAATTAATTAAATAAATCTTATATTAAACAACAGAGTAACAATTTTTTTCACAAATTCATCATTCATGTCATCCGCATATTCCTTCCATATGTGAGTTAAGGTTTAAATAATGAAGTTTGAAATCGAAGTGAAATTTGTAGTCATAAATAATTTGTTGTGGTTGAAAGAAATACTAGAGGTCTAGAGCCGATGGCGAGAAAAGGACAAGAGGAGGAAAGGGAAAACATGCAAAATAAACAGGAAAAGGCTAAAACACTGCAGTGGGAAAATTATTGGACGTCCGGACCACATTAAGCGGCGATGGAATACCCGTTAAAGCTATGGATTGGTCGTCGTGCGGGCCATGCGGCCGTACAACCCGTCTGTTGGACACGTGGCGTCAGTCCCGTTCCATGCCCCTCCATAATTCGCCACGTTTTCCCCGAACGCCGCGTGGCCTCTCCCTCTGGTTTCTCCGGACTTCTTAACAACACCATACCGTTCCTCTCCGCCGCACTCTCAATGGAGAATTGACCGCTTCTTCTTTCCGACGAACAAACCGAGGAAGATCGATGGCAATCCCACAGGTGTTCTTCCTGCTGGTGCTGTGGCTCGCCGTGTGCGTTGGGTTGTGCAGCTGCTGGGGGGAGTCTGCTGCCGACATTGCCCAGACGACGGCTCAGGAGATCCAGCACGGTTGCACAGAAACCACGGAATATGCTCAGGAAAAGGCTGAATCTATGGCTGATTGGACTTATGACCAATTCCTCCAGTAATGTCCTCCCTCCTTTTCCTTCCAATAACGATCCCCGTTCTCCAATTTCAGTCTGCAATTTGTTTCTTCCTCAAGCGCCCGTACCTGTTCCCATGGTTACCTCTCCGTGCTAAGCGTTTCATGTTCTCAAGCTTTCCCGTGTTCCTACGGATGGCACGGAACCTTGTTCCATGCATCAACAATGAATTATTCTATTCAATAGCGTGGCAATTCATACCTTTTCTATTCAAGGAGCATGATGGATGCTATAGAAATAATCAATCCTATAGTTACTAGCTGAGGATTTCCTCCTAAAATTCAAACACGAAAAGAAGGGATTGGGGAGTAGGCAAAGAGTGATGTTGTGTTAATAGTCACATATGCAAGCATGCATTCTTTGCAATTCCTTGCTATAGATAGTTGGGAAAATAGGTGGGTAGTCCTCGGTCATAGCGTTGGATCAGGGTATTGATAATTAATTCTCAACAGGGGCACGTTAGGTATCTAGAGTGAATGCTGCTGCTGCTAATTCTTTATCGCGCTTGACAAGTAATTGTCATATGAACTTCCTCCTAGTTAAGTTGGTTGTTTTTATTGTTGGAATTTTTAATAAATTTTATCGTGGATTAGCATAAATTTAATTATAATTATAATATAATTTGCATTATTAGCATTGACGGCCTATGGACCAAACCTTAGCGTTCTTTGTTTGGTAATTGATTTACAATCCTTCTTTCAGAAACAAGGACAACGCAAGACAGGCAGCTCAGGGCATGAAGAATAAAGCTGGAGACGCTGCCTCAAGGGCCACTGAAACGATGAAATCTGCGGCATCTGGTATATTTTTGCCCTCTGTGTGTTGTATTTTAACCACCTAATAATTCTCTATTTGACAGAGACATCTTAACTCAGCAAATTTTCCAATATGTGTGTGGTTTCTTTGTTCAGGAACTTCCGAGTGTTTTTCTCAAAAGTACGGTGAAGCCAAGGAAAAATTGTCAAGAACTATGGCGTATGACAAAACTGCTGAGGCCTATAATGAAGTTGATGAGATTATCAGAATGGCGACAGATAAGGCTTCAACCAATGCCAAAGATATCTTGGCAGATTCAGTGGGATATGAAGGAAGAGACCAAGCGGCTGAGGAAACCTATGAGCAAGCTAGGCATAGAGTGGAGGAGGCTTACAGGTCAGCAAAGGACACCATGACTGAAGAGAATAAGGTTAATTACGAAGATGCCAAGGAGAAGGCTTCACAGGCCACTGGTGATCTTGGAGCCAACATGAGGATGAGCAGCAGCGAACTAACATGAGGGTATGGCTAGTTTTACCTTTTTCTTGAGTTTTTTTTTTTTTTGCCCCCCCAAGCTCTCCTACGTTATGCGATGCTATGCCAATCACTTAATAGATATTTTCCCCTTAGCAAAGGAGGATAACGTAACTTAGGGTTTTCTCGAACTACTAATGCTAAATATATATAGTTTTATATAATAGTTAGGGGACTTCGCAGCCCATCATAACCTTGTATCTTCTCTGTGATCAAAATAGTGTATTATTTTTTCCTTAATATAAGTCGTGGGGTCCCTACTTTAACCTGGTTGATTTCAAAATTGTTATCCCTGTACGGAACTACAAGTGAATGATTAAATTGAAAGCTGGATAGATTGTTAAAGGTGACCTCCTCTCTTTTATTAATTAATGTGGTATCTTTTCATCTGCATTTTGATTAGAGGTCTTCTTTATTTGGTGGTCCATACCATAGGCAAGCCATGAATTTTTCACGCATAGCTCGGGATATAAACCAACTTTTACAAGACATAATATCAACTTTTTTCCCGAAATATGCACCAAGTGGTGATAGTCAAAAAAATATTACAGTAGCTGCAAGTCACACTACTGATAAGGGTCAAAGTTGCACCAAGAGTATATTACAATACTACCTTTTCTTTTTAATATAAAAAATAATTAACTAATCTAAATAGATTAAAAAAATTAGTTAAGTTAATTATTTATAATAAATAAGTATTATTTTTTTAATAATATCCTTGCTAATCAAGTATTATTTGATGAAATTTTTAATATGTGTAACTATTACAAGGACTAACTTGAAAAAAATAAATAAATATGAAAGACAAAGTGGATTGTAGTTTTATATTTAGGGCCAAATTAAAAATCAAATTAGCTTTTATATTAAAAAAGATAGTACAACCTGACCAATTGTTTCCGTACGTGTGGGAAATGGGAGAAGATTTTTTGTGCGCAAATAGTGCATTAAGTTGCTTTTTGTGTGCGTGTGTCTTCCCAAACTTCGGGCAACAATGAGAATGTGCGGTATATTGGAAATTAATCAAAACCAGTCATCTGCCAGATAGGTGATCATAACACCAAGATTTGAATATCAATATTTCATGATGGATAATTATGCAATTTTGTCTTGGCTTTCCATCTAAAGATTTGGCTGGAGTTAAAACGCTATACCTTTATCAACCAATTTCTTGCCTCAATTTGTTGCTTATCCTTTAATTTCGTCTTGCAATGACCTGACTATTATCCTTTCAATGTTGCTTGTCCTTTTAAAATCGATATTTGTTAGTGAATAATTCTTGTGATTCTGTTTGGCTCAAGAAGTGCTTTCAAGCAGTGAGAGTGGGAACCATTTATCTTGCTTGTATATGATGATCAACAATCTTGATTTTCGCATGCCTCGAGCTTCCACCACTGCTCAGCTTAAATTTAGGTGGCATGAAACTGTTAATATGTGATTTACCTTGACATCAGAGGCATTACATACACGTTACTTTAATGGGTACCGTTTAGTGTAAAGTATTGAAAACAAGGAATAAGGATTAGAATTAGATTGAGAAAATAGCATTTAGTATGAGAGATTGCTATTACATGAGATTAAGGAATATCATGAGAGGAAGTGTATGGTATTCCCCAATCTTACTTTTATGGGTTTGTCTAATCCCATACAACAAATAATTACTCATGTTAAAGATTTTTTTAATTATAATCCTAATCTTAATTTTTTATCTTGCTTCATACCAAGCGGGAACTATGGGTGTTAAGTAATTTTGATTGTGTGAAGCCAGCGCTTCTCCAAGTTAGGGCAATCCGGTGCACAAGCCTTCTACGACTGACCCATCAAAAGGAATACGAGACCCCGCCATACGTTTGGTTTTGGATGATCATCTTCCGTAAAATCGGCTAAAAAAAAAAGCTTTTTAGATACTTAGATTTGTTTTTTGGGGATGTACAGATGCTCGCGTCCGAAATGTAGTACAAATTGGTGTTTTGTGCTTCCTACATGTCGCAAGGCAGGGTTATATTAGTTTGTGTGAAACGAGTGGTACGGGCATTAGTACGTGGGTGGTCAAATCTAGTGAGGCTCATATTTCGTGTAACCCCATTACTAATTTATTTAGAAACATTTCATACACATAATACTGCGATATTCCAAGCAGTCATCCATCACCGTTAACTCAAAAATAGTAATGCGTATTTCTTCGAGTCTCAGAAAAGTGCATTGGCTCATAAAAATCTTTTGCGTCTACCCCAATCATTGATTATACCTTTTCGACTTTCCCTTGGGTCGAAGAAAATCTATGCTCTTTCTCCAGTTTCATACATGCCACATGGTTCAGAAAGTATTTGACTCATCCACCATGTACCATTTCATGGGTATTTCGTGGGCAGGGAATGAAAAACATCTAAAGCGAGAAAAACTCTTATCCCTCCCTCTTCATTTTTAGGGGGGGCTATTTATCTGCCTGGCTCGCTGGGGTAGAGCGGAGACAAAAAACAGTCGATAGCTGAAAAAGACACGGGTGAGAAAAGAGCGGAGTATAATTAATATTGTCTGCAAATTCATGTGTCGGTGTCCAACAAGAGAGGAGAGAAGAGAGGACAGAGATTGTGTGGTTGGGTGGAATCCTATTTTGTTCCGGGACAGCCTTTGTTACTCCTGTTGGCGATAAAATGGATGAAGAGGTTCCACAGACCGAGGCTTCCATGATTTGAGGGGTTGGTTTGATTGGAAGAAAGCTCTTAATTTAAGCCATTATTATACATGAAATTAAATATCACTGCTAACCAAGAATCGCTAGCTTGAGTTATGGCTTTACATCAATCCTTACGTACGACCCTAAGTTATCATCTTAATTTCTTGTTGATTCTTTAGGTTTCTCCTTCTAGAGTCCAGATTCTAGTTTCTTCTCAGACAAGATAGATATCCACATAACACAAAACAGAAGGTCGCAGGCTGAATAAAGAGGATTATATGCTGCAAATAACATAGAGAGATGGAGTAGTCAGAAAAATCGAATAGTTATCAGTGGTTTTTTCAACATCTCTACTTGAGTTTGCACATTTAATCTACTTATTCACTGGTTATAAAATATGGTTTCTTTCTCAAAACAGGTTAAAAAAACAAGTAACAAATGAAAGGAGATGAAGGTGAAGCCTAGCCTAAGATTGCTTACATTTGCTTCTTCTTCATGGCCTGTTTGTTATTGTGCATCCAAACCTTGAAAACCTGCCGTTTCACACCCGCTTGATTACAAAACTGTTGTACTTCTTGTTCGTCGTGTTTCTGGATCCTCCATCCCAACTTCTCGGCGAACTCCATCATCCTGTCCTTCTGCTCCTGGCTAAACTTAGTCCTAAACCTTTTCTTTGATGACCCTTGCCCTCCCACATCATTACACTGAAACATGTTCAGATCTTCGCTTGAAGACTCCGCCGCCCCGCCGCCTCCGCCGAAGGCCATCATCAACGGCGGGAACGACCCACCTGAAAATCTCATATGTTGATGGTGATGATGATGATGAAGAGGAGGGGGTGGCGGAAACTGCGGAGAAAGAATCCTACTCTGTGCGTTATTGCTTTTGCTGGGAGGGTAGGCGTAGTAATTGAGAACATTAGTTTGAGGTTCACCTTCGGTCTCTTTCCGGTGGAAATTGCGGTGGCAGTCACAAGCGGCACATCTCAAGGATTGTGGAGTGCCTTCTTCTCCACTTGGCATGAACTCGCCGCATCCATCCACTACGTGTCCTCCCATGCTCGCCGCATGATTCTTCAAGCATTCTCTGTACCTAATCGTCCTCGCTGTTGCTGGTCCTGGGTTTGATCTGCTAGCAATTGTTGTGATCGCTGTTACGCTTGGCGGATCTGGATCTCTCGTGTTTCTCTGCAATTGCTGAAGTGGGTTCGATGGCAGAGAAGGAGGAGGATGATTAAGATGATAGTGGTCTGAAGTTTGAGGAGGTTGATCACTACTCGTTTCGCCTACTGTTGAAGCTAGAGTTGGAGAAGAAGACGAGTCCCTATTGGAGGGATTATAGCCTGAAGAGGTTGGTAATGGCATCTCTATTTCCTTATCTAAACCTCTCATCAGTTCCATCAAATCTGACTTCTAATGAAGGCCTAGATCTAAATTATATATGATTTGGTATGATATTATCTTAAAGCATGCTCATTTCCTGAGTGATTTTGCTTTAATTATATATAGTGCTGTGGGTCTTCCTGTGCAGCCCGATCAACCCCCCAACTCATCCTAATCTGATGGAAAACCGGTCTTAGTCGAGAATATTATTGCAGGCGCACCTAAATATATTCTTTCCTTTCCTTATTCCGCTATTGACATTCCAAGTGCTATAAATTTTCTCTAATCAAACCTGTTCTCAAGGAGCCGTGTTTTAGTGATTAAGCTGTACCTATGGTGGTGCTGGAAATTAAATGTTTTGATATTTAAAAATAATAATAATAAGTAAATTCAGAAACAAAAGAAGAGAGAGAAGGGCAAAAATTGGTGAGAATTTATTGAGATGAAGCTGCCAACTGGGTCCCTTCCCTTTGAGAATCTATGCAAGACTCACCGGCAAAGCTAGATATTACTGTAGATTTGAAGCCTAGGAATATTGCTTGCACCAGCAAGACCGTGAGAGGGAAGGATAGAAACAAAGAACACCTGAAAAAGGCTTTCTACCTTCCAAGCTTTGATTAAGAAAGAGATCTAAGATAGATATCAATCTTAAGTGATCAGAAAAGAAGGATATGCAAAGCCAAAAAAGATGACAATACAAGGTGAGAAGCTAAAAGGGCCGAGAGAAAGGTTGTTTCCTACCACCCATCAGACTCCATAAAGACTAGTAGGTTGGTTTGCACTCAGAATTAGTGATGACTACGCTGGAGGAGTAGGTCTTGCAGAACCGACAAAGGTCATGTTTGTCATCTCCAATCTAGTTCAGTTCTTAATTATTGCCCTTCTGAACCACTCACTTCATCAAACCCTAGCCAAACTTCCTTAGAATCAATGGTTTTTTTTTCCCTGAAATAGGAAGATGCATGTAAAGTAGAAAGTGTGTGTGCAGGCAGATGGATGCCTCCCTTGGCTTGAAGATCGTCAAGATTAAGCCGCTTCGGATATATGCAAATCAGACTGAAAACCCTACTTAAAAGAGAGGTTTGATTAGTTTTATTAAGATAAGAGTGAGCAGGAGAAAATAAGGAATATGAGGGAAATGACCCTTTTTCTTTCTTTATAAGGGGGGGAGTGAACGTGAGAGATTATTAAAGTGAGTGAATGCTTGCTGGGCCACTTCTCAGCAACTTGTCTTGTTGGTGTTAGTGTGTGTGTCAGATTTTCTCTTTTGTGCGCCTGCTGCTGCAATACCTGCTGCAACCCACTTCTTTTGCTCACTAACTTCTCTTTGTAATTGACATTGAGAGGCATCTTCTATTTTTCTGCTTCACGCGTCCATCTTTTCATTGCCCTGTGGTACCGTCTCACGTTGGCCACTATTCAAAAGACATCCAAAAAAGAGGGGAAATCATATCCATAAGGCACAACTAGACTACTGTTCAAATTGACTCTTTCCTTGTCTCCACCCTGAACCACCAAACCTTGACCTTTGGGGCTCAAACGTGATTCATGTACCCGCCAACGCTTCTTCTTGCCCCGTTCTTCATCCATAGGTTATGTATTCCATGGGTAGAGACTGTATTTGACCTTTACTTTTTATCAGCTGAATAATTTTAATACAGGTTTTTAAACAATACATAACACGTAAAATTCCATTCGTGATCTTGAGGTAATGTTCCGAGAAGTACTTAAAAGTAGAAGTGAATGAGCTCACCCCGATTTGCGTACGAAACTTCATTTAATCCATTACCTCTATTATACTATTTCTGGTTCTAATTATACAAACAAAATTTTATAATATGGAAGTACTATTTCTTTATAGCTGGAAGTTTTAAGATAAGCATGATATGATTGTATTGAGCATTGAATTTGGCATGGAAAGCAGAAAATAAAAGGCATCGAATATTGCAGACTGTGCATGCCTCTGTGCCATTTATCTCGTCTGCTTTGATGATCATTTTCTTTCCCCAGGTTACTGACACAATTGTTTCGCTAAAACCCTGACAGATTAGGAAACAAAAATCTGCATTTGAGTTCCTCTTGTTTCTTCAATATTTTTTGTTTTTTTGAGATTGTCATATCTGGGAACTAACAGAAAATGTGGTAAACAAGAAAGAGGATATATCGTGAGTTCCTTAGAAACATGCAACACTTAAAATATGATTTGATGTGTGATGCCTAGGCCTTTTCGTTTGGTGATTAACAGCAACAATTTCCGAGCATTAATTTAATACGAGCACGACAGCCCCCGTTTGGGGAAATAATTAATTAGCAACTGGGAGTGATTAAGAATGTAAAGTCTGATACGCGGCAGATGACCAGCCAAGAGTCTCCGAATCGGTATAGCTTTCCTCTACTTGCGGTTCTGTTGTTAATGGCAAAATGATATGCTTCAACGTCAGAGCTGAGCTGAGAGGGAACCTCTTTAATAAGAGTGCCACGTCACTTAACGGCAGCGTTTTAAATAGTATCTATCACGAGCTGGAATTTCGCTCCCAATATCAAAATGTCATTGTCATGAGTAATCAGTAAGTATATCTTTTGACTCGTGAGTCATGTTCGATTTCAATTTTCAATGAGCCTTCAAATCTTGTTCCTCACCTGAATTTTTTCTTTTCTTTTCTTTTTTGAAATTGTACACACACATAAAAAAACTACTAAATAGTTTAAATTGTCAAAAAAATTAGGGTTAATATAATATTTGATTTTTTTCAAATTTGTTTTTATTTTAATTTTAGTACTTTAAGTTTTAAATTATAGATTATGGTCCCGATAAAATGGTTAAGATTTTTATTGAGCTATAATGATCAATATTTTAAATAAAAACAAAACTTGAGAAACTAAAAAATATGATTTAAAATTTAAAAGACTAAAATCAAAATGAGAATAAACTTGAATGACCAAAAATTGTATTATCATAAAAATTTAAAGCAAGTCATCTATAATTCATAGCTTCTCCTAGTGGCCTATCATTTTTTTCATGCATGATAAAATGATTAAAAATTAACTAATGCTTTTTTGTTAAAATTCTAGAATGACATTCATTTTGAAACAGGACCAAATCTAAAGTGAAATATTTTAAAAAGGAGGGTGTATGGAACTTCTCGTCTTCTATGATGTTCTTGCTCACGAGCATCAATCATGAAAAATAATTTAAAATTCAGGCAGGTAAATCTAGATTCCGGACGGAATTTCTGAGGTCGAGTTTTTTTGTTTTCATTAGAACCATTTTGAAACGCATTGATTAGAAGTATTGTTTTTTTGGGGGGCGGGGGGGGGGGGGGGGGGGAGGGGGAGGGAGACGCGAAGCTGGAAAAGATTTTTTTGTTCGTCGTTATGTGGGCGGAGAAGAATCCAAATAATTGAAGCTATATCAGTTTTGGATATGAGAGCATCAAGTAGATTTCAAGATCATGAGGAGAATCGGCCTTCCAATTGCTAGCCAAAAATTAAAAAGACGAAAAAGAAGAGATAACTGAGACTTAATGACAAGCATTTGTTCAAATATGGATATGCATCCTCTGGGGGAATAAATATATCATGCGCCCGACGCAAAAAGTTTTGAAGTGAAGACAAATAAAGTTATAAATGTATATATATATATATTTATTAGAAAGACAGACATTAACAAATAACAATCTGACGTTTCAAGTAAATTAAACCATGATTTTTCATTTTTCACCTAGAGAGAAACATTTATAACCCTCCTCTGTTTCTTAATATAAAACTCAGTTGTTGAATTAATATTAGTTCTAAATATAAGATCTATTTTTATATTTATTATTTTTCTTAAATCGCTTATAATCAAGTAGGAAAGAGAAGAAATATATTAAGAAAGATGAGATGATATTTTAGAAAAGATATATCATATTTTTTATAATTAACTAAATTACTTAACTTTCTTAACATAATTAAATTAGTTAAATAGGTTTGGGTTAATTAATCTGCAAGTATTTATAATTTCAACGAATTTTGAATCAGGTCCCTATAGTTTTTTTCTTTTTATCAGGTCCTTATACTTTTATCTTTTTTTAATTAGGTCCTTGTATTTATTTTTCTTTTAATTAAGTCCTTATAATTTCACTAAATTTTTAATCAGGTCCATGTAGTTTTAATTTTTATTTATTAATTAAATATAAGCTTAATTAAATAGATTAATACTGAAATATAAAATATTAATAATTATGTAATAAAAAAGTAATAGAATTAATTAATTCAGGAAATTTTTTTAGAACAATTACTTTTTTTGCTGAAAAAATTAAAATCATTATAATAATTCAATATCTTTAAAATATTATTGTTTATAAACTAATATTAAATAATATATACTATTTTATGTTTATATAATAGTACTATTAGAATTTATAAAATGAAGAATAAAAAATTCAGGGACTTAATTAAAAATAAGATGAACTTGTAAGGACTTGATAAAAATAAAAATAAATACAAGGACCTAATTAAAAACAGGTGAAAGTATAAGGACCTGATAAAAAGAAAAAAAACTATAAGGACCTTATTCAAAATTAGTTGAAACTATAAGGAGTTGTGGATTAATTATCCCAATAGGTTTTACATTAAGGACTGGATGACTACAAGTCATAAACTCACTGACAACAACATACGATATATATATAAGACAAATTGTCCGTTTGGATTAACAGTAGAAAAAGTAACTTATTTTTAATATAACTCTTGAAAAAGTGAGATTAGATAAAAATAAAATTGAACAAAGCGATTTATGTTTGGATTAACTTTTATAAAAATTAGTTTGTAAAATAAAAAACTATTTGGGTTATGGTTGGATAAGTAAGTGTAGTCAGTAAAATGATCAAAATAGGTATGACATTTATTAAATAATAAAAAATGATTAAAAATATGAATTTACAAAATATAATAATTTAAAATTATAGTTGGAAGAAGTTAAATTAAATGAATAAAAATATATTTAAATTAGAAATTATAGTAATGTGAAATTTTGAACCAAATAATATTACATAATTAATTAGATGAAATACTCTGCACAATTTGTGTAAATATAAAATTAAAAATGATATTAAAAATTAAAAATATTATAAAAGTTATGTTAAAAATTATTTTCACTCAAGAGAGTATTAAAAATAAATAACTAAAAACTTATTAGGAAGTACAAGAAGTATGAAGATAAAAGCATAAGAATATAAATATAAGGACAAAGATATTTTTTAATTTTAAAAAGTTATTTTTGTATAAGTCATAAGCAAGTTTCAGATGTTTTTAGCTCATAAATCAGATTGGCAAAAAAACAGCTCTTAAATTTACAAACTGATGACTTATCAAGCTTTTAAGCTACTTTTTGTCCCATAAACGCTCAACCAAACAGGCTGAAAATTAGTTATTTTTTCTGCTTGAAACTGCAAGGGATAAAGTTCAAATTGTGCTAAAGAAATTTATAAATTGTTTAAATTGGACTTTATAATTTAGTACGGTGGCATGAAACCTCTTTGTAAATAATAGAAAGTAGAAAAATTAAGATCAGGTCTTCAAAAAAATAATTATCTTAAAATTTATTGACAAATAGAGAGTAAATAATGACAAGTTTAAGAATAAGAAATAACAAGAAGTTTAGGTCAATCACTTATCATTGAAATTTTTTTAATAATATTTTGTTTTGAGACTTCTTTTTTTTTTTTTTTTTAATTGAGGGGGCGTGAAAGAACGCAATAAGGGAAGGAGAGTGAGGAGAAGGGATCCGGCATTCCGGGGGCGTTTGGGCGTGCCCCCACGGCCCCCCGCATATGAGACAAACAACTTTGGCAAGGGAACAGTGTCCCTCGCTTCTCGCACGCGACTCCCTTCTCCTTCTCCATCCCTGTCCCCAAATCTAGCCCTAAGCCCTTTTTTGACTTTTAAACTAATATATATTTTTATGAAAATTCTGTTTGGTTCTTCATTTTATGTATCCATTTGCTACTTACAAATGCAGTGGACGGTGGTGCCCTCTTGCTTAGTCAGCGTACCGGGCAACCCTAGCTGGGTCCTGCTGGTCTTGTATTTGGGCTTGCTGAGCCCATTTTGATTGTATTAACTAATGCTTCTAGTCGCTAAATCTAACGTTCATTGTATTTTAAATTAAACTCAACGAAAGAGTATCACGTTCTAATTGCCCAAAACAATTTATCTGGTCATTAATATTTAATAACTCGCTGTCTGTGCATTTCTTTTTATAGTTGATAAACATAGCTACGACCATGATATCGCATCGTTATTTTCACGATATCCTCGTTCTCAGAAAGCGGAATATTTCGCGCATCTTTGTTTTTTGGATTCTGTCACTTACCACTTGGTAAATGTTCTCATGGAGCCTGCGTTATATTAGAAGAATATATGAGTATTCGGTGGTTCTCTCAAACGTATAATATCCATGGGATTGGGAACTTGATGGCATTTTCTGGGATCCACTCGATCTTGGAGTGGAGAGAGTGGTCGCAGGAATTAGAAAGTAAGATTCGAGATCAAGAAAGTGCCCTGAATAATTGAAATTTAACGCAGAGTTGCTGTTCCAAATCTTAGTCCAATCTCGGCCCTGCGCGATTCGTCCCACCAACAATATGATTTTAGCTGGATATGGTTCTAGAGATATCGTCCCTAGACGACAAAACCAACAAAGACGAAACTCCGCAAAACTGGACCAAACAAAGCAGTCTCTGGAATGATTTGTTCCTCGGATCCGAAATTAATCACATGCAATGTTCCCAGCTTAACATTGTTCGGATTTTGGTTTTAACCATTCCTTGTATTTCCAATTTCCCCCCTTAATTTTCTCCCGATTCATGAATGAATCAATTGAAGCACCTTATCCAAATGTCCGTGCTCCGTCGGTCCGTTCCCTTTACTAAAAGCATTTATTCCAAAAGCCGTGTTCCGCGTTCACCCCAAATCATTGTTTCGTTGCGCGTTGAGTAAGTGAAGATTTACTAGTAAATATATTGGGAAAAAAATTGTGCACAGGCATATATAATTATATATATATTCCTATGAAACATCTGCTTTTGAAGAGCTAACGAGGAAGGGGTCGCGGTGACGTGTATTTGTCGTGTAGCGGTTGGCATTGTCGGATAGTGGAACAGTGGGGGCAGAGCATGTTTAAGAACACGTGGTTAGAAGGCTATAAAGTGGATGATGCTTATGAATATGATACCCCTTTTTGTCTTTTCATTGGTAACTGCAGAGGTTCTTTTTTCGCCCTTTTCATTCTGGGTTCTCTCTTTTACGATTCATAGTCATGGGACTCTATGATCATCTGCTGGACCCTTGCGCCTTAACCCTAAATTCCCCCTGGCCCACATTCCTGTCAACTACACTACCACATCTACCACATCCAACTGGCCCCCCCCATTACTAGTTGCCTCAAGGTTAAGCCCAAGTGACCCGACTATTAAGGGCCTACATGGAGGCCCAACAAGTCCAATCAACCGTACTTTTGGCGTCCACCTCCTGATTAATGCTTCTAAGCTTCACGATAGTTCATCACAAAGCGACATATCCAACTGCTTCTTTTGCAAATGCCTTATCGTATAGTGTGGTATGATAGCTTTTTTTTTTTATAAATGAGTGAGAGAGAGCTGGTCGATTCTACTCTGCTTATGACATCAGGGGATTAATATCTACCCCTTAAAGGAGAAAAATCTAAGTAACTTGGGATATTGCATTTCCTATACCCACAGAATCTGGACCCTTCATATCGCTAGTATTCTCAACTCACCCTTATTACTTGGGGCACTGACATTTTTCATGTTAACCACCGGGGGGAAATGTATGGTCTGCTTGGGCCATAAACCCTCACTGACCCGCACGGGTTACTGATTAATTACATCCTTAAGAGGGGGGGGGGGGGGCGGGACATTACAGTACACTAGTTTTTTGGGTCTCTTAACGGGTTCGTGTTTAGGTAACGTCTGGCTAACATATGGATGATAACGTCATCACGTTCGAGTTCATGTTCACTCGTTTTATGGGCAGCGTGCTGTGGGATGATCAATTTCTATCAATATATATTGAATCTAAGGCTGTACATTGTAACACTTTTCTTTTTTTTTAAGTATTTGCATAAGCCTGTGAGAATCCACGTTTACAAAAATCAATACGATACAAGTCACGTTTTTCAACTTTAATCCAAATAAACACTGCTTTTTTGAAACCAAGATACACAAATGCGAGCTTTAAATGTCGTAATGAGTGGAGAGAGCATAACATTAGTAACAATGGCATTAAGAAGGTTAAAACAAATCCGAGCTTTAAATATCGTAATGCATTCAGCATCTCCCTAGTGGTTGATCAAGGACACAAGCATCAAGTAATGTTTAAATTCGACAGCCTAAGTACCTCCAATTCATTCTTGCTTGATGTGCATGCAATTCTCCTCACATCAAGCGAGTGATTCATTAGAATGGGATTAATTTGGTATGGCAGCCAATCCGCCTATGCAGTTTTATTTAGTTAGCTTTAATCTTGCCAACCGAGTGACATTACGAAGATTATCACCCTCCCATTTCCATTCACAGCAGAGGCATCCACACCCAGAAAGTATGAGATTTCAGTTAGCCACCTTATCCATCAAAAATCGACAGTGTTTATGAGCTAGTGAAAATAATAACAATCATTCCTTCAGACAGGACCTCCATCGCTTACAACAAATCCTATATCACGATGACCATCCATCCAAAATGCAGAAATCTTACAGAAGAGTTGAATCCGGCAGCCCCTTTTCTTTCATTTTCATCAATCACACAGATTTTACATTTCCACTAAGACACGCCTACGAGACGCGATATCACCAAACAAACGTTTCGTTTCGAATAAATATAACCACGCCCGATTACCCAAATATAAAATGATGTGTGTGTGTGCAGATTTGAGAAGTCCAATCGAACTTCAAAAATGAGGGGTCAATGGATGCTAGATTAAACTTGCATGATAATGGAATAGCAAACCAAATACAGATTTACCACGCAATTGAAGATTAGCAAGACACATAATTCCAATTTATAGGCTTGCATTTCCATTGAAAGGGTAACATTGACGAGGCTATTCGGTCTGTTGCTGCTCTGTCACGGTACTTCCCGCCACTTCTACTGCTGACAATGTCGGCAAAACCCCTTTTGCTTCCATGAGCCTATACATATACCAAGCCCCAACAGACCTATATGGCTTCCACTTCTCGCATAATTTCTCCATTTGTGAAGGCTTTGGCAATGCTTTGAGGCCATACAATCGCTCCACGCCTCTTCTAACAACCAGATCCCCTACAGGAAGAACGTCCGGTCTGTGAAGTGTGAAGATCATGAACATGTGCACTGACCAAGGCCCAATCCCCTTAACCATAGTAAGCTTATTAAAGAGGGTCTCATCATCCATTTCAAGTATTGAAGAATCTGATAGTAAACCTTCCCTGTATTTGCTTGCCAGATCATGGATGTAACCCGCTTTGTGTCCAGAGATTCCAACTTCTCGAAGCTGCTGTACCGTCAGTCCAAGCACTGTCTCAGGCAGAACTGAAGCCTCACCTCCACAGAGTGAGACGAAGCGTGTGTGGATCGTTTTGGCGGCCTGGTTAGAAAGTTGCTGGCAAACAATGCTTTTTGTGAGAGACAGGAATGCCGGGCGATGAGTAGGGAACTCAGGAGGGCGAAAAGAGTCGATACAATACGCCAAGAGGGAATCAGACAGGCGCAAATGCTGAAGAGCGAGATCGATTTCACTTTTCAACGTCAACGGCTTAACGATCATGGGCAAAACGGAGGGCGATGCGGATGGGGTTTCCTTCTCCGTAATGAAAGTATTGGCCTCCGAGTGTGAAGTCCTGGATGCTTCTGCGTCGGGAATCTGGGGGCGTTTGTTATCATCAGCATCGGATGTGACTCTTCGAATTTTTCGAGCCCGAAATGAAAGTTTGGAAGAAGTTGGAGGAGGAGGGTTTAATGAAATAGCAGTCGTGGTTGGAGACCGAGAATCCTGAGACTGAAGCTCCGAGTCAGAAATGCCTTTGGCTTGGGATCGAGTTCGTCTCACCATTCTGACAATTGGGGCTGGTTTTAGGGTTACGGATGCCAAGCAAGAATACCGGGAAAATGGTAACAAGATCGAGCTTCTACTTAACTTTGGAAAAATTCAAGGGAGGGTTAGTAAAAATCGTAAAGTCTTATAATATAAATTTATAATCACCTGAAAAACCTTTCACTAGTCTCTCCTTCTCTCCCGCTATCCTTTCACTTCCCCAGTACTGCAATATATTCAACCCCTTATTCTGAAATCTCTCCTTTTCCCCTATTTGATCCAAAACTAAATGAGTTGCTGCGCCAGCACTGGGGCAACCTGGAGGCATCACCCAGATGACAAATTCCAATTCAAAAACCTGCAAGAGTTTTTTTTTTTTTTTTCCCTTCCAAAACTCAAGTTCCATTCTCCTTGGAAGAGAGCAAAATTCGGATGCCCATCTCACGACCTCTGCCTGAGAAATTCGAGACGAAGGAGGAGGTCTCCAAGGCGGCTCAGCTTTCAGAAATGTGCAGCATCAGAGCTTTTCGACCACCACCACCACAGCCACGATTGGAGAGAAAAGATTTAGTTTTTATGGTTTCAGTGGAGGCAGTGGGATATCTTCATAGAATTGCTTAGGAATTTTGAGAAAATATTGTTTTGGTGCATCTGGTGTTCGTCATTCTCTTCTCCGCCTTCCTTCTTTATTCGTTCCCTCCTCGCCTCTAAAATCCAGTTCCAGTTGTCGGGAAAAAAAATTACATGCTGAATTGGAAGGCACCGTTACCATACTTAATGGTGCTAAGTATAAAATTATTAAATTATTAAATGCGAAAGAATAGTTAGCGAATGACTTAAGGTAAATTACTACTGTATGCGTGATAAATGTCAAATTATGAAAAAAAATGAGAAATTAAATTTTAGACAAATTAAAAATTTAGGGGCTGAGTTGTATCAAAGCATAATCGGGCGATTGAACCAAAGAATTATTTTTCTCTCGTAAAGAACATAAAGAAATTAGTTCACCAAAAAAAAAACCAAAAAGCAATTCGCACTGCATTGAACACCTTCTGCATGAACTACGACAGGCTCCTTCGTGTCTTTTTTTTTTTTTTTTCGGGTTTTTGGTGGCCAACAACTGCAGCCGGTTCCTTGACGATGAGATGACGATATCACACTTCATTTTCATGAAAGCATCTTTCGTGATAATGATAATGATGTGGATATACTCCTCCGGTCCTTATTATAAGACCCAATTTGACTTTTTATTTGGTCCTAATTATAAGACCTAATCCATTTTGTCTCTTATATTTATGCATTTTTTCCAAGATAATCCTTCTATAATAATAGTTTTAGCCAATATACTTAATTAGCAAGGATATTTTAGGAATAACAACACTTATTTATTATAAATAACCAACTTAACTTGCTTCCTTAATCTCCTCAAATAAGTCAATTGGGTCTTATAATTAGGACCGGAGGAGTATTGTTTTTTTATTGACCTTATGTGAAATAAATGAAGCCTGAAGAAATGCAATCAAGGAAAACAATTGTCAGCGAATAAATGAATGCTTTGGGGCGCGGAAAGGAAAAATGAAAGACACTAATATATGCTCCCAAGTACAGTCCAGTTCTTTTGACATTAGGAGGCCCATGATTCACGTTTAGCACGGGGGTTGGGCAACCTCTACAGTTAATTTGAAAAACAAAAAAAGGAATTTTAAGATAAAATTTTTATTATATGCTTATTTTGTATATCATAAAATTATTTTTAAAAAACTAATCTAAACACTTGAAATGCATGTATTTGATCTCTTCTAGCTTGCTTGCAAATTGCAATTTTCCCACTATCATTCTTTTTTTCCGGCTTCACATATGAGAGATTGTAAACTTGGTATTTGCTTGCTGGGTATGGACGTATGGTTGCTTCTCGCCTATTTGCTTCGTTTAAACATCTAAATTTGGTTGAAGTTGATTCAGAAGAGGTTTTTTCTTTTGGCCGAAAGATAAATAGGCGAGAAGCAAATGCGAGTCCAAAAATTAGGCACCGACATCCCTTACACAGAGCCTTATTGCTAATTAATATATATCCTAATATTAATATAAGAGTTAGTTTGATATTTAATTTGATCTTAAATATAAAACTTCAATCCATCTGTCTTTTATTATTTATTTTTCCAAGGTAATTATTTACACATATTAAAATTTTTATTAAATAGTAATTTTATCAAATACAGTTAGTAATAATATTTTAGGAAAAATAACACACTTATTTATTAGCAGTGACTATTTTAACTAATTTTTTTAATCTACTCAAATTAGTTAACAAATTTTTATTTTAAAGACTGAAAATAGTATTTATATTGTGAGTGAATAATCATAGATTTATAATCTATGCACAGAAACAGTAAACGAAAGCGTCGTATTATTCAATACTTATTTAGAATAACTTATAAATAGTTTTTCAATCGTAATTTATAAAATACGAGATGAATATATAAAAAGAATTTTATCTCGACTTATATAAAATATATTTTTAAACACTTTTCAACGTGATTCCAAACGGCTCTTACTCTGCACTTCTTTAAATAAAAACAGCTAAAAATCAACGAGGAATTAAAAAGAGAGATTTCATTTAATGCGGTTTCACTCCACAACATTAGACTGGGAAAAAACATTCGCGTGTTGTGATGTGGCGCGCCTATCAATATCATACTGCCAAGTGTCTAAGATCGTCCTGGTAAGATCTGCCCCACTTTTTTGTGTGATTATTAATATTATTTCAACAACTTTTTTATTTAAACACTAATTTAATAGCATTAATTATCAAAATATTAAATTTAGAAATCTGAAAACAGGTCAATTTTTATTTTTTAACCCTTACCTCATGAAGATTGAATCCAATTTATCTCACAGATATTCTAATAATCCTGTTTGCCGGGTTCAGTTTCGAAATCGCATCTGCTGCGTACGTAAATTCTGTGTCTAGCATGTTAATCGAGAAGCCAGGAGAATATCTGCGTAAAACATTATTGCGGTAAGATAGGGTTTCAAAGGTTTTCTGGCCAAGACATCATAGTTTATTGATCCGAGTGAGGAGAAGTTCAATTCTTTAAGATAAAAAAGTGAATTTAATTATTTAAATAAAATGATAAACACTACGGTAATGTGAAAAAACTTCACTCTCTAAGCAAAATTCAGTCGAAATAATTCAAGCACAATAATGGAACGGAAGTAGTATGGATGGTGGACGCTGGAAACTCCAGGATTGATAACGAGTCTGAAATCCGGTCTGACATAATTTTGACGGCGAAAGAGTCTGGCTGGAGTTGGTAGAATTAATTACTGAAATCCTTGGGAAGTACAAAAAATCAATAACCACTTCAATAACGCTGTCTCCCTGTCCGCCCAATACTTCATAATTTCCGCAGAATTACGCTTTATCTATCACTCATCATCTGGACGGCAAAATCGATCCGCCTGTTTGGAAAATTACCATTCAAGTTCAACCCACAACACTTCGACTTCGCTTGAGGTTCTGGGATTGCGGCAATGAGCTTCAGAGACGACAACGAAGATGGGAGGGATCTTAGGAAGCCCTTCCTCCAAACTGGAAGCTGGTACAGGATGGGCTCGAGGCAGTCCAGCATCATGGGCTCCTCATCTCAGGCCATACGAGATGGCTCTATCTCTGTTCTCTTTTGCGTCCTCATCGCCGCCTTGGGTCCTATTCAATTTGGTTTTACGGTACTTTATCTGTAGCCAATTTTATTGTATCTCGTCTTGATAATCACAGAAAGCTATTATTGATTTCCTTGTCCCCCCGTGATTACTGATTATATGGTTTTATCAGTGTGGGTACTCTTCTCCTACTCAAGAGAGCATAACCAGCGATCTGAAACTCTCAGTTTCGGAGGTTTGACTGCATTTGTTAATGAATCTAATTGGATGATGTTTTAAATTTTATGCTTATAATTCTCTTGCTGGATATATTATCGATAACAGTTTTCTCTGTTCGGGTCTTTATCAAACGTGGGAGCGATGGTGGGAGCAATAACCAGCGGTCAAATGTCGGAGTACATAGGGCGTAAAGGGGTATAATGATTTTTGGCTCTATTTACTCTTGCAAGGCTACCTACGACTGCTATGCGTGACGCCCGTGTTTGAATTGCAGTCACTAATGGTTGCCGCAGTCCCTAACATAATAGGATGGCTTGCCATTTCTTTCGCCAAAGTAAGCGATAGCATAGAAACTCTGATTTGATACCCCTGTTCGTTCTTTATCTAGTTTACAACCTTATCTTTTGCATTGCTGATTCTATAGGACTCATCTTTTTTATTCATGGGGCGCTTATTGGAAGGATTTGGCGTTGGGATAATTTCTTACGTGGTAATCTTGATAGTCATGTTTTCTTTTCCTATATGCTGAGATCAATAGGAGAAATTCTAAATGCAAATAGCCTGTCTTTCTTTTCTCAAGGTGCCTGTTTATATTGCTGAGATATCACCTCAAAACATGAGAGGCGGCCTCGGATCCGTGAATCAGGTTGGCTGCTTAATGTTGCTTCTTAATCCCACCTTCATCTGCTCCACTATCCTATTTGAAATGCTATTTTTAACGTCTGTCTTTTGTTTGCTCAGCTCTCCGTTACAATTGGAATACTGCTGGCTTATCTGCTGGGCCTTTTTGTCAACTGGAGAGTGCTTGCAGTTCTAGGTAAATTCCTTGTTACTAAAGCATGCTGATTGTTTTGAATCTCTTGAAGTTCCATGCATATTTGACAACAGTTGACAGAATGTTTAGCGACAAGTGCTTCAAAACATTGATGCATAGTTGATATCATTATTATTTCTAGGACCTAAATTATAACAGTGAGCATGTTCTTTCCCTTTGCAGGAGTTCTACCATGTACAGTGCTAATTCCTGGGTTATTCTTTATACCAGAATCTCCTAGATGGCTGGTATAAATCATATGCCGTGTAGTTAGTTTGGTGCTGATTGAATATCTGTACCTTTCCCACAGCTGATTTATATCTTTCTCTGTTTTCTTTCCTGGTCTTTTCTTTTTGTCGGGCTTGCTTTTTTTTTTTCTCCCCTCTTTTTTTTGGGGGGGGGGGGTTGGAAAATCCAGGCCAAGATGGGAATGACAGAAGAGTTTGAGACTTCATTGCAAGTTTTACGAGGATTTGACACTGATATTTCTGTTGAAGTACATGAAATCAAGGTATTTAACTCATTTTGCCACCTAAAGTAGCATAACAGCTTTGATGCTATGCCAAGAGATGCATGACGATAAGTGTAGGTGAGGTGTGGTTTAAGTGTCTTGTATCTGCGCTGAGAACCAAGTGCTGCTAAACTATCTTCTTTACAGAGATCTGTGGCATCAACAGGAAAACGAACTACCATTCGATTCGCAGATCTTAAGAGAAAAAGATATTGGTTTCCTTTGATGGTATGCTATAATTCATCCTAATTGTGTTCTCCCTATGTTTCCTAGTTTAGTTTGGCCTATTATTATTTATATGAGAGTTTGAGAAACCTAAACCTGAGGGTAATAAAGTGACTGCAGGTAGGAATTGGATTGCTTGTGCTCCAGCAAATCAGTGGTATTAATGGAGTTTTGTTCTATTCAAGCACCATCTTTTCGGATGCAGGTTAGATTTACTAATCAGCTGTTAGTTATTGAATTTGCTTTCTCATATATTTCTGTTTTCATTTTTTTTTATTTCCTTCTTTTTAAAAAAGGGGTGGGGGTTTAGATATAGGGGGATTGGAGGGTTGGGGTTGACGTTAAATATTTTTTCAGGATGAAGAGAGTTTACAATCCTCAAAATTCTTACGCTTAACATGCTACAACATGGCTTTGGATGACTTTGGATGAGATATCTGTTGACTTGTACTCCAAATTGGCATAATATCCATTTTCCTGTTGTCCTCCCATGAGTCTCATCGCTCTTTCCATATCATAGTGATGTTTTTAAAAATTTAATGACCCCGAACTTTGGCTTTGTTGTTGGCTTTGAGTGTATGGGATATGAAGATGGGGGTTAGTTCCCCTGTCTTATCTAAATTTCTTATTTGGTCAAGCTTCAGCACTCAGTGATGAAAAACTAATATAACATTAGATAACAGTTGTTGTGGCTCCAAAATTATGAAATGCTCTTTTTGAAATTCAACTTCCTTCTTGTGCCAGGAATTTCATCCAGCAAGGCTGCTACAGTAGGTCTTGGAGCTTGTCAGGTTGGCCACTATGCGTAAAATTAATGTGAATATCAAATTAGTAAATTCAGCTCTCATTGTCAACTTTCTTCTCCAGGTTTTTGTGACTGCAATCGCAACTTGGTTGGTGGACAAAACTGGCCGGAGGGTTCTCTTAATAGTATGTATTAAGGACAACGAAATTTCCAGAAAAGAAATTATGGGCAAATATTATTTTAGATTATGAACATGGAATTTGAAAATTCTGAAATCTGTTATTGCTTCTGCAGATATCCTCCTCTTTAATGACATTTAGCCTCGTCCTTGTTGCTGTAGCGTTCTATTGGGAGGTTAGTGCTTGGTAATGGCACTAGCTTGGTCCACTGTTAGGAGCACTGTTCTCTTTATAACTGGTTCTATCTTTATTAATACAGGGAGTCGTATCAAAGGATTCTCATCTATACAGCATTTTGGGAATAATCTCTGTGGTTGGGCTCGTGGTATGTTATGTGGGATGATGGGTCTAATGTCCTTCTTCCCATGCGTTGAAGTATTATAATTACTCATCAGTTCAATCAACTGTTTTTCTCTAGGCAATGGTGGCTGGCTTCTCTCTAGGACTTGGACCAATTCCTTGGCTTATAATGTCTGAGGTAATCAAAGTTTATATTTCACTTACTAGATTAAATGAGAGGAAGTACTTAATTCCTTATTCGGAAAATGTCTATGGATTCCCTTATGTAATCTTGTTTCTTAAGGCTTTATGTCCCGTGTAAGCCCTTAGACATCTGGATACATATGTAATTGTTTATTGGATACGTTTGGAATAACTCATTTCTAAATCATTTTCAGATACTTCCAGTGAATATAAAAGGCCTAGCTGGCAGTGTAGCCACCTTGTTGAATTGGTTTACTTCTTGGGCAATCACAATGAGTGCAAACTTGCTTTTATCTTGGAGCAGTGGAGGTCTCTCTCTCTCTCTCTCTCTCTCTCTGTGTCTGTGTTCACTTCTTTTTTCCTTCTCCTTACTGGGCGAGAGTAATCACCTATTGCTGGCTCAGTAGAATTCTTGGGGTATTATGTGCATGTTGTGCATGTACATGCAATGTCAAGAATTTTTTTTTGTCTTTTAGGACCACTAGTGGCATTGTGAAAACTATGATGGCCATTGCATGTATATGCACAACATAATACCTATATGTCTGGGAGTATATGGGGTAATGGAATGAAATGGAAGTCAAGAGGTGGAACCACAAGTGCCATACTATTGTTAGGATGTCTGATGAGATATAAGAGGGAATCGTTAACAGAATGGAATAACAATTGTGTCATTGACTCTTAGGATCCTTGCTCGCTGCATGGTCCAGGCCAGCCTATACCATAAATCTGTTATGCACATTCTTGCATGTTGTGTCATATGTGCCTATTAATAAAATGATGAATTTGACCGTCCACAGGAACATTCACAATCTACGCGGTAAGTATCTGCCTTCACCATTGTTTTTGTAGCAATTTGGGTCCCTGAGACAAAAGGAAGAACTTTGGAAGAAATTCAGGCATCCTTTCGATGATTTGGTTTGAAGAGCACTTGTTCAAATGAACCGATATACCAGATATCTAAGTTGTTTAATTAATTAAACTACTATGTAATAGTTTCTGTATTAATTTTTTACTGCATGAGTTGAGTTAGATCTAAATTCAAAGTATACGTATCACTTTTTGGTTGGCAAATAAAGAAAGCAATCTGTTGAGATCATTAATTGCTGACATTCAACTTTTATCATGATCCTCTGAGCATAGTCGCTGACATAATATGATGAACATAGGAGTTTCAGTCCCTGAGTTGGATTGTTTTTGCATCAGATTTATAGAGGTTAGAGGATATGGGGGGATAAATGTGTAGAATACCAATTCATAGAATTTCAGTAGATATACATGAATAATAATTTCCTCCATGGTTTACATTTTTTCAATTACATTTTTACATATTTAAATGATGTGTCTAGGGATGATCTATAACTTGACAGGCTTCTTGAATAGTTTGTAATTGAGATCGTGTCAAGAAATTTTTAGGCAAAATTTATTGAAAAGCCTAGTGTGTTATAATTAATTAGTTTTCATATCATTCTAATTTTCAAAGTTGCTAAATGTATCAAAATCTTGTCTGGAAAAAAAAAATCGAAGTCTTCAAATGAAATAATTATGAGCTTTCACTCTCATTAATATAGCCAGTTCATTTCATCTTAACTTATAAAAATAGTTAATTTTAGACGGGATTTGAAAAAATTAACTGAAAATAAACATTTTTAACTCTAGTAACCGTTTGTCTTGTTAGTATTAATGATACTTTATAAACAGTGAGTTTTAAAAGAACAATTAATCTTTCGTGTAGTTTTTCTCTTTATAATGTACTCTTCCAGTTCTTAATATAAGACTTATTTAACTAATTTGATTAGATTAAAAAAGTTAGGTAAGTTAGTTAATTATAAGAAATGTGACATGTTTTTCCTAAAATACCATAATCATCTTTCTTAATACCCCATCTTCCTCTTCTACTTGATTATGTTGATGGAGTATCTATAAGGGTAATTTAGAGAAAATTGATAAATATGATAAATGAGTTTTATATTTAGGATCAAAATCAATTGAATAAATCGGTTCTATATTAAGGACCGGAAGAGTATATTTCTTTTCTTATATATTCAGAGGCCTATATTTATTTGGGCCCCACAGTCTCCTGGACGTTCAGCGCTTCCTATAAGTATTCAGGATCACCTTAGTTTTCTCTTTTCTCTTATTCTCGCACGTCCAAATGACGCGGACAAGTCTCCGAGACCCAGACACCCTCATTTGGACCTTGGTTCACTCATGGAACACATAAGCTTCTCCTATATAAAGCATCTCACATCCTTCTCTTTCCCTTTTCTCAACCTCATAGAATCCAATATATCTGTTTAATCATCTCATATTATTACTATTATTATTGACGAGAACCTACGGATCCTGCGACGTAAGAAGCAATAATGAATGCAAGGAACGATGTGGAGAACAGCGCGAACGTGAGGAAGCCATTCCTGGGATCAGACAATGCTCGAGAAAGCTCTCTCTTTGTTTTGGTCTGCGTCCTCATCGTCGCGTTGGGTCCTTTCCAGTTTGGTGTCACGGTGCTTCACTTCACGCCACTATCTCGTTGCGTGCGACGTCGTTTACATGTTTTACGTTGATGCTTGAAATATTGACTGACTCGTGTTGCTGTCATGATATATATTCGTGCAGTGCGCGTATTCTTCTCCGACTCAAGTGAATATAATTAGAGATCTTAATCTCTCAATTTCAAGGGTCTGATTATTCTCTTCTTTGAATTATTT